TCTGCCCGTTCCACCATTCATGCACTTACAGAACACCTTATTCATCACCATTGTATCCCATACAATATCACTTCAGGCCCAATAACTCATTTTACGGCAAAAGAAATGTGGCAGAGGAAACAGGCCCAGCACATTCACTGGTCTTACTCTGTTTCCATCACCCAGAAGTAGGCGGCCTGACAGAATGGTGGAATATGGTCTACTGGAGGCTTAATTAGGGTGTCAGCTAAACCACACCCTGTGAGGTTGGGGAACTGTCCTATCAACATAGGATATGCTTTAAACTAAGCAAGGGTAGGAGGAGAGAGTAGCCCCTCAAAATACACCCAATAATCCACTAATGGAATTTTTTCTGTCCCCCTTAAATCTTGTGCTCTGAGGATTTGGAAGTCCTAATTCTGAAGAGAGGAGGGTAACCATAAGGGAACATAGTCAGGGTTCCACTGAGTTGGAAGCAAGACTGCCACCTGACCATTTGGTGCTCCTTCCACCACTGAACCAATAGGCAGAAAGGAAAGGGGCTACTGTATTAGATCACTGATCCTAATTCCCAAGGGAAAATGGTTGCAGCTACACAAATGATGCAAGGGGACTAGTCTAGGACCCAGAGGATTTCTGAGGTACCTCATAGTGCTCCCATGTCCAGGAGTAATTACTGTCTGAAGCTGGGTTACCTAGAAATCCTGAGACAGGGATTTGAGAACACATGATTTATTGAGGGAGTGTCCTTCAAGAAAAGCTTCTAAGGGAAGGAAGCAGGATAGGGAAGAGGAAAGAGCTGAACATACATGCGGTCTCAGACAAACTTGCCCTGAACATAAAGTATACCAGAGATTTCCTCCCTTTGAGGCAAGGGCACTACCTTTTGTACCTTGTATCACTCCTGTGGGAATGGCCAACTTTTGAAGGAAGCTGAAGGCAAGTCTCTACAGAAGGAGCAGCTGTGGGCGGTTAGCAGCCCATACAGCAGTGGGAATGGGTGTGTCGCCTGGGAGAGGGGACGGTGCAGGGCACACAGCCTCTACTAGAAACAATGGGAAGCTGCAGCAGCCCCCCTAAAATATGTCCTCTGCTGGTAGGAATCGGTAGAAATAGATGGACACTGTAGATGTGAGGATAATGGATAAAGCAGATTTTCTGAGGAAGCCAAGGCTACAGGATTCAGAGCATGGGTGGTTTTGGCCTGGAACAAAAGGGACCCTCTATCCTCTGAAACCAGAGGGAACGAAATCTCTAAAATTAAAGGTTTAGGCAAATTGATAAGCAAAGGGTGAAAAAAATTCAAAACTCACCTAAATTGTATTGAAAGCCTACATGCCTGGCATATCTTAGGGTTGAGATAGTAATAGCATAAGAGACAGGCCCCTGATCTAATGGAGCTTAATGTCTGGCAAACCATCAGTTATAAAACAGTATAAGGACGATGGAACCAAGGAGGGACGGGTCAGGGAAGTGTTATCTGAGACACGAAGAATTAGTTCCTTCCGCGCTAGCAGTAGGGAGTGTTCTGAGCAGAGCAGATGTGATAGCCCACGTGAATGCCTGGGGATGTCGGAGAAGACACCACAGGGAAGAACTGAACGTTCTGGGATTGTGGGGGGAGGGGTGGTAGCAAAAGGTAAGGCAGAGCCATGCCTGCAAGCCAGGTATCAGCGCATTGGAAACCATCAGAGGGTTTTAAGAATATGTACCCCATGACGTGTTTGGTGTTGAACAATAAATAGGGCCGTGGTTCCAAAATTGAAGGAGGTAAGTAAGGCCTGATGGCCTCAATCTCCTCGACTGAAGGCAAAATCTTCTGCTCAAGGTGAAGAGCGTATGAGCACTTGAGAAAAATTACAAAGGCTTTAAACAGCTGGTGAAAGAATGGGAGGTGGGAGTAGTTGAGGGCTCAAATCGATACTAAGCCCTGGAATTTGGTGCAGCATCAATCTGCACCTGTGTGTGCTATGCACCAAGAGAACTCAGCCTCCTCTGCATTCATTGAACGTATATTTATTGCACCTATTTCAAGCCAGTTGCAACATCTGGGAAGATGCACATAGGCTGGATCCAGGGTTGGTAACTTGAAGAGTGGATATAGTGGTGGGATCAGAATGCACAGACCTTGAACATGCTGCATGTCAGAGCACAGACTTCAGCATCAGTAGGAAAGGAGAAGGACCAGGAGGAGTCAAATATACTAGAAGAATGTAGGTGTCAAGGAAATAGAAATCCGCGAAGCTAAAATCCAGGAGAAGAGAAATGAGGGAATTGCTGAAAAGAACCAAGTGCTGGCAAGTTAAGATTTGCATTTGTGAATTGGAAGTTTTTCAGGTGGAAGGTAAAAAGCAACATAGAGTTTAATACAAATCACTGAACTGAGTTTAAGGAACTTCAGGCTGGATGCCGGGCATTTTACATGACTTAGAAGTTGTGGTGGAGAACGTGAGCCAGGAGCTCAGATTCTTAGTGAGCCTTCAAGATCACAGCAAATAGGTCAAAATATGGCAACTCTCTTTGTGTGGTACCTCCTTTCTGTACTTCCAGATGTCAACATGACATCCTAGGAGAAATGTTTAGCTGGACACCTTTCAAAATTAGGAAGTTGGCAAGAAAATAGCTACAAATCTTACATTGTATTCTGGCAAAAAGTAAGAGGCTATTTCAACTGGTTGGTACCTAAATACAACCAGAGCTCCCTTATTTAGCCCCTAGATGGAAAATATTAATTTACATCTGTAATCTAACATAACACTAGAGAACTAAAGACTTAGGGACGAGTGTACAATTTTGTTTTGGTAATTCCAGACCCAAAACATGAAGTTTAAAAACCAAATCAGTTACTTTTGCCACTCGAAAATCCTTACATAGCACTTTATTAAAATAAATAATGAAAAAATTTAAGGCAGCAATGTTTTCATGACCTATAGGTTATAAGATAAAAATTACTCTGAGCTGTTTAATTTTCTACCTTCTTTTCTACAAAGCCAAAAGAATTCTGTCACGGGGCAATCCTGGCCTACAAAGTGATGGCACGATTAGGCTATTGCTGTGCATAATCAGGGGACATTAAAGAGCATCTTTGGAACCAGAATGCTTCCTCAAGTACGCAATCAATAGATAATGACTGATGTTAATGCAGTGAATCTAGCTAAGATATCTTTGGGGCTACTAATGAAACAAAATCAAATTTTAAAAATTTTGAGTAAAAGGGGCGCCTGGGTGGCTCAGTCGGTTAAGTGTCTGACTTTGGCTCAGGTCATAATCCCAGAGTCCCAGGATAGAGCCCCACACCAGGCTCCTTACTCTGCTAGGAGTCTGCTTCTCCCTCTGACCCTCCCCCACCTCGTGCTCTCTCTCTCAAATAAATAAAACCTTTAAAATTTCTGAGTAAAGGGGAAAATAATTAAAAGTGCTATTTTTAGAATGGTATCATAAACTAAATAGCAAAATAAAAGAGCTTGGATTTGACAGCAGTGGTGCTTTATACTATTTCTTTGTGCCTGCCCTTCTTGGTACTTATCTCTAAAGTTAGCATACGAACTCACTATTAACTTTAAGATCATTTATTTATAAATTATCACAATTAGTAAGAATAATTAGACCTTATATATACCCATGAATAGTAATGTATATATTCATATTTATTTAAAATATGATTTTTCATGTATATAAGTACCTAGTAATTTCTATTTTTAAAACATACCAACTTTGAATCCTTAATCTCTTGGCTTTAAATCAAATAAATCAAAGATATCAGTGGCAAATAGAACTTGCTAAAACTTTTTGTATATAGAACTTGGATTGAAAACTAATGAATCCACATTTGGGTACATTCTTCCTAGTAGGCAGGTAAGTATTGCTACTCCAGTTCTTAAATGCGGCCTCCCCTTCACCAGAGGAGGGAGACTATTTCGTTTTCCTTCTCTCAAATGGAAAACAAATCTGGAGTTTTGGTGAAAATGACACTGATTTGATGGGAAGAGATCATTAAAATGGCCTATTTTTCTGTAGGCCACATGTCCGTATCATTGTAAAACCTCTGCTGGGACAGGAATAATCTTTGTAGCCCCTACTGCATGCAGCAAAGCACTTTTCAAGTACTAATTACCGCAATTACTCAAAGTTTGTTGCAGAAATCAGCGAATAAAGGCGTAACAATATAACGTGGACATACTTAGAAAAGATAAAATGCACCAGAACGAACGCTAGGCACTACGTTGCCCCTCTGTGCCTTGGCCCCTTATCTGGCCTCAGACTTTTTCCCATAAACCTAATCCTGGGCAATGACCCAAGGACAAGTTCCTCAACTCCGCCCGGGGCCGAGGGAGCTCTGCGCGCTCCTTCCCGCCGCCTTCCAGGCCGCTCTCTGCCTTTTCCTCTCAAACTTCTTCCCAGCCTGGTCCGGGATACCAGACCCGAGGACACCCCGGGACTGCCCTTCCGCAGACCTCCAGGAGAGGGATAGAAGAACCCGCCGAGGCGACTCGGCGAGTATGGGCTCTCGCGCATGCTCCCTGACTGGACGAGAGTCACGCTGGAGCCCGCAAGAGTGGGAATCCACTTCTCCACATTTTGCAGGTGACCTGGAAAAGTCGGTACCAAAACACTAGGTCCTCAAAGGAGGAAGGGGCCGGACGGTTACTGAGAGCTGACCGGAGGAGGCTGCTCGCAAAACCCGGAAAACACTTCCGGATTAGCCAACCTCGACATGCGCAGAAGCCTCCCCCGCGGCAGCGGCGGCGGCGGCTGTGGTTCCAGAGCCGGAAGGTAAACGACTTCAGCTGCCCGCGGCCTGACGCCTCCTGGGTCATGTCGGCCCAGGGTGACTGCGAGTTCCTGGTGCAGCGAGCCCGGGAGCTGGTGCAGCAGGACCTGTGGGCAGCCAAGGCTTGGCTGATCACAGCCCGCAGCCTCTACCCCGCCGACTTTAACATCCAGGTGAGGTCAGGCCCATGCACGCGGCTGCCTCCGCGTAGGTGTGAGCACTTCGCCGCACCGGGGCTGCCCTGGCCGCCAGCTCTTCCCGCCTTGGAGGGGCCGGCCGCCTCCAGTCCGGCCCGCCCCGCACCCTCTCTTCCCACTCTCGCCACCTCCTCCGCCCCGCTCACCGACACCCCTCACACGTCCCCTCTCCCGCGAGGCCGGCACCTGGAGACACAGCGGACCCCGCTCGAGGTCCGGGTGGCTGGAGGCGTGGGGGTGTTTTGCTGCTCGGTGGCCGGGACGGCACCGCATCGCCCCTGGGAAAGGCCGTTCTCGCTCCTTCATCATGATGGCAGCCATTTGTTTAGTGCCTGCTACTTTTGAGACAGTATTCCTCCATTCTTGGGTACCGAAGGATTGTAAGTGAGCTCCAGGGTCGCACTCGTAAGCCCCGTGGCTCTGTGCCACCAGGTGATGCTTTGCTATCAGGCCCTCCCGGGTTGGGAGTGCTGAGTGAAGGCCAGCTAGCGCTGCGGGCGGTGAGCTGGGACCAAGCCCCGGGCGGAGGTTGTAACCCTCTGGGCTGATATGTGTTTCAGTATGAGATGTACACCATTGAGCGGAATGCCGAGAGGACCGCCTACGCTGGGAGACTGCTGTACGACATGTGAGTTCAACCTGCAGCGCCCGGGATCTCTCGTGAGGTTTTGTCTGTGTGTGGAAGTGGGAGTTGGGGGAGGATCTTCAAGTTCATCTACATCTCTGGTATCTAAAGCTTACTTAGTCTTACGGCTAGGCCTTCAGTTAACTGCTGACATGCCTTCTGCAGAGAAGTCTTCTTATATTTTATTCTTGGGAAAACTTTTATTCACAATAATTTATTTTGCTTTAGAAATAATACGTGGAAATAATACGTGCTCTTTGCAGTTCAGACAATACTGAAGTGTAGAGAATAACAAGTGCAAGTCCCTCCAACTCAACCAGTTAAGTTTTGTGTGTCTGCGTATACACAAATGTACTGTGTACATGTGTACACAGTACAATACATGAAGGTTGGTTTTTGTGGGGAAGGGTTACAAAAGTGAAATCATGCTACATACCTCACACTGCAGCTTGCTTTCTTCACCCCCGGCCATGGAGGGATGCCTTTATTTTTCAGTATGTAGAGCTCTTCTTTTGCATATTTGCATAGCATTTCATAATACTGGTGGACATTGAGGTAGTTTCCAATTATTTGAGATTATATTCAGAGTGTCAGTAAGCAATTTTGTACCCATATTTTAGTGTTTTTCTATAGAGTAGATTCTTAAACATTGATTTTCACAGTCAAGGGTATACACAATACACTATCAAATTACTCTTCGAAAAATACTATTCCAATTTACATTTCTACTAGCAGTGTATAAGAGTGTCCATTTTCCCACACATTTGCCAGCATTGGATATTATCAGTCTTTCTATCATATTTTAATTTTTGCCAGTGTGATAGAAAGTGGTATCTTACTATTTTTTAAAAATTTGTGTTCATTGTATTACTAATAAGACTGAGTATCTTTTCAAGGGTTCTCTTTGGCTGTATTCTTTCTGTGATTTGCCTTTGCCCACTTTTTCTTTTGGGTAGTTTTTTTTTTTTTTTCTTTTAGTTCTTTTTTCTTGTTGATATTTAGGAACGCTTTATATATTATGGTCATTTGTTTTTTCACTTATTAAAAACTCTAAAGACTTTTGTGATTAACTTCATTTTCCTTAGTTTTTATTTTTATATCTTTATTTTGGCTTGTTTCGGTACATCTACATATTCACTTGTAATAAAGAAAAATGTGTATTTCTCCATATGCTAATGTTCTTTTCTTTTTGTAATACTATATAGAATCTGACATTTTAATTTAATGCATTAATTTTAAAATAGGTTTGTGAATTTCCCAGATCAGCCGGTGGTGTGGAGAGAAATCAGCATTATTACATCAGCATTAAGGAACGATTCACAGGATAAACAAACCCAATTTTTAAGAAGTAAGAATGGAGTGATAACTAATGGTGTATAAATTACCGCTTCTGAAATACTAAGTTATATACAGAAATTTCACAGAAAATTCAACATCTGTGGTATTGGTACCCAAATGTGTGTTTGTTCTTGACAATTGAAGTCTATTCAAATGGTGTTACTTGGTCCCTTGAGTATTTGTATAGAAACCTCTAAGCTTCCTTAAAGGGTGTAGATTTATCAGTTAGCCCAGGGAATTGAATATATTTTTAACAGATTTTATAGTGATCAGAAAGCATCTGTAGATTAGGCAGATCTCCACAAAACAGGAGAGAAACTTTTAGTGATTTATGACCTTTCTCATTAACCTTCACTCTGTGTTGGTTGCCATAGCCAATCAAAGATTTCAAATTCTGGATAAAAAAGTGGGTGGTTTAGGTCATTTCACCCTAAACAAATGCATCCTCTTTATCTCAGCCAACAAGCACTGTTGTGACCCTTCACTTATGCCATTCTTGTCTTCTGGATCCAATAAGGCCTCCAAATGTTTTAGGGTCATTCAGCAAACATCTGTGTCCAATACCATCTGACCCAAAGGCCTTCTAGGTTGTAGGTAAAACTCAAACAGTGATTCTAAATGTATTATTTACTGTTCTGTACATGAAAATGCCTTATTTCCACTTTAGCTTCGGCATTTTCTTTCTGAAAGAAATTTTTAAAAGTAAAATGTGTTATGTACAGGTTTATTTGAAACTCTCCCTGGTCGGGTCCAGTGCGAAATGTTACTAAAGGTTACGGAACAATGCTTCAACACGTTGGAACGATCAGAAATGTTGCTTCTACTTTTGAGACGCTTCCCTGAAACAGTGGTGCAGCATGGGGTATGACTTGATCCTTTCCTTTTTGTCAAAAGAAAATAAAATCGATCACCACATTCATCAGTTGGGTTAGAAGCTATAATGTGTATTATTCTAAAGCAGAAATTCTGAAGAACACTAGGTAAGATTGAATTTAAATCAAGGAATCTTCATCAGTAAAGCTGAAAGGATGTCACTGTCCTCAAACTTTATAAATTTCCAGTGGAAGTAAGTTTCCCATCAGTATAAGGAAACAGTCACCAAGCTTTGACAGTGCTATTTATTTGCAGTCTGTAAAGTACAGTAAAGATTTGGGGTTTTTTTAATCCTATTCTAGAGGTGCCTGGGTGGCACAGTTGGTTGAGCGTCTGACTTTTGATTTCGGCTCAGGTTGTGATCTCAGGGTGGTGAGATTGAGCCCCACGTCAGGCTTCCGGCTCAGCATAGAATCTACTTGAGAGGGCGCCTGGGTGGCTCAGTCGTTAAGCGTCTGCCTTCAGCTCAGGTCATGATCCCAGAGTCCTGGGATCGAGTCCCACATCGGGCTCCCTGCTCTGCGGGAAGCCTGCTTCTCCCTCTCCCACTCCCCCTGCTTGTGTTCCTGCTCTCGCTATGTCTCTCTCTCTCAAAAAAATAAATAAAATCTTTAAAAAAAAAAAAAGAATCTGCTTGAGATTCTCTCTCCCTCCCTCTCCCTCTGTGCCCACCCTCCCCCGTGTGCACTCTCTCTCTTCAAATAAATAAATCTTAAAAAAAAATCCTATTACATTCTAATCAACAATGTTTGAATTTAACTGAGAGCCATAGTCTTTTCTCTTCACAGGCATGTTTTTCATGTGCTTTTCCCTCTATTCCTTTTATCTGTAATAATTATTGAGTGCTATTGGCAGGCATTAGTAAGTGTTAGGTATCTCCTTCCATACTCCCTGGACCCCTTGAGGTAGACAGTATCCCACTTTACAGATGAGGAAACAATCTTAAATATGTTCGTAACTTCCCATAGCTAGTAAGTGGGAGATTCAGGATTCAAATCATTAACTCTATTTTTTTCTTTCTTTTTTTTTTTATGTTATGTTAATCACCATACATTACATCATTAGCTTTTGATGTAGTGTTCCATGATTCATTGTCTGCATATAACACCTAGTGCTCCATGCAGAACGTGCCCTCTCCAATACCCACCACCAGGCTAACCCATCCTCCCACCCCCCTCCCTTCTAGAACCCTCAGTTTGTTTCTCAGAGTCTATAGTCTCTCATGGTTCGTTTCCCCCTCCGATTCCCTGCCCTTCATTCTTCCCCTCCTGCTATCATCTTCTTCTTTTTTTTTTTAACGTATAATGTATTATTTGCTTCAGAGATACAGATCTGTGATTCAACAGTCTTGCACACTTCACAGCGCTCGCCATAGCACATACCCTCCCCAATGTCTATCACTCAGCCATCCCATCCCTCCCATCCCCCACCACTCCAGCAACCCTCAGTTTGTTTCCTGTGATTAAGAATTCCTCGTATCAGTGAGGTCATATGATACATGTCTTTCTCTGATTATTTCGCTCAGCATCATACCCTCCAGTTCCATCCACGTCGTTGCAAATGGCAAGATCTCATTCCTTTTGATGGCTGCATAACATTCCATTGTGTATATATACCACATCTTCTTTATCCATTCATCTGTCGATGGACATCTTGGCTCTTTCCACAGTTTGGCTATTGTGGACATTGCTGCTATAAACATCGGGGTGCACGTACCCCTTCGGGTCCCTACATTGTATCTTTGGGGTAAATACCCAGTAGTGCAATTGCTGGATCATATGGTAGTCTATTTGCAACTTTTTGAAGAACCTCCATACTGTTTTCCAGAGTGGCTGCACCAGCTTGAATTCCCACCAACAGTGTACGAGGGTTCCCCTTTTTCCACATCCCCGCCAACATCTGTCGTTTCCTGACTTGTTAATTTTAGCCATTCTGACTGGTGTGAGGTGATATCTCATTGAGGTTTTGATTTGGATTTCCCTGATGCCAAGCAATATTGAGCACTTTTTCATGTGTCTGTTGGCCGTTTGGATGCCTTCTTTGGAAAAATGTCTGTTCATGTCTTCTGCCCATTTCTTGATTGGATTCTTTGTTCTTTGGGTGTTGAGTTTAAGAAGTTCTTTATAGATTTTGGATACTAGCCCTTTATCTGATATGTCATTTGCAAATATCTTCTCCATTCTGTCGGTTGTCTTTTGGTTTTGTTGACTGTTTCCTTTGCTGTGCAAAAGCTTTTTATGTTGATGAAGTCCCAATAGTTCATTTTTGCCCTTGCTTCCCTTGCCTTTAGCGATGTTTCTAGGAAGAAGTTGCTGCGGCTGAGGTCAAAGAGGTTGCTGCCTGTATTCTCCTTTAGAATGTTGATGGACTCCTGTCTCACGTTTAGGTCTTTCAACCATTTTGAGTCTATTTTTGTGTGTGGTGTAAGGAAATGGTCCAGTTTCATTCTTCTGCATGTGGCTGTCCAATTTTCCCAACACCATTTGTTGAAGAGACTTTTTTCCATTGGACATTCTTTACTGCTTTGTCGAAGATGAGTTGACCATAGAGTTGAGGGTCCATTTCTGGGCTCTCTATTCTGTTCCATTGATCTATGTGTCTGTTTTTGTGCCAGTACCATACTGTCTTGATGATGACAGCTTTGTAATAGAGCTGGAAGTCCGGAATTGTGATGCCGCCAGCTTTGCTTTTCTTTTTCAACATTCCTCTGGCTATTTGAGGTCTTTTCTGGTTCCATACAAATTTTAGGATTATTTGTTCCATTTCTTTGAAAAAAGTGGGTGGTATTTTGATGTGGATTGCATTGAATGTGTAGATTGCTCTGGGTAGCATTGACATCTTCACAATATTTGTTCTTCCAATCCATGAGCATGGAACGTTTTTCCATTTCTTTGTGCCTTCCTCAATTTCTTTCATGAGTATTTTATAGTTTTCTGAGTACAGATTCTTTTCAAATCATTAACTCTATTAATTCAAACTCTGTTGTTTATTCTTACCCACACTATCTTTCAAGCTTCTGGCCCCAGTTAACCTTTTCTATACCTCCTTCTATTAGTTTCCTAGGGCTGCTGTAACAAAGTACCAGATTACTGAGGGCTTAAAACAACCAAAATTTATTCCTTCACAGTTCTAGAAGCTGAAAGTCCAAAAGCAAGGTGTAGGCAGAGCCATGCTCCCTCTAAAGGCTCTAGGGAAAAATCCTTCCTGCCTCTTCCTGGCTTCTGGTGGTCACCAGCAATCTTTGTCATTCTTGCGCTTGCAGCTACATCATTCCAGTTTCCAGTTTCTGCCTCTGTTGTCACATGGCTTTCTTCCCTGTGTGTCTGTTCCTGTGTCTTTACATGACCGTGTAAGGATTGTAGTCATTGGATTTAGGGCTTGCCCTAACCCACTGTGCCCTCTTCTTAACTAATTGCATCTACAAAGACCTTACTTTTTTTATAAGATAAAATTTATGTAGGCTCACATTCTGAGACTCTTGAGTGGATATGAATTTTGGGTGGATGCTATTCAACCCAATACATTCCTTGATCATTACTCAACTATTAGCTTTTCGTGTTTTATTATCTTTTCCATTGTTTTACCCCTCCCCCGTGCATCGCCAAGTGATCCCAAGGAAGATAATGCAGATGTCTGGGTGGATTTTGATAAGCCTGCTTTCTACTCTGCTAGGGAATACATGGTAGAAAGTAATGGAAAGGTGGCCTTAAAAGTCAAACAGTTGTGTCCAGCCTAGCCGAGGCTGAATGACTGGCTACTCCTGACAACTCTTAAAAGTGGTAAGGTTTGTCGACATAATACATCTTGATGTAGAGAATACAGTTTCTACATTTTGTAGAAAATCTCTACATCTCCTTTATCATTCTAACTAGTTCCAGTGCTTCCTTTAAGTTTCTGTAGACATTTTAACGTTTTGTTTTTTTTTTTTAAAGATTTTATTTATTTATTTGAGAGAGAGAGAGAATGAGAGACAGAGAGCATGAGAGGGAGGAGGGTCAGAGGGAGAAGCAGACTCCCTGCCGAGCAGGGAGCCTGATGCGGGACTCGATCGCGGGACTCCAGGATCATGACCTGAGCCGAAGGCAGTCGCTTAACCAACTGAGCCACCCAGGCGCCCCACATTTTAACGTTTTAATTTTGCTAGTTCAGAGGAGAATAACCAAGACAAAGTAGTCAGTGGTCAGGTGAATTTGGGGTTTCCTTCTGAGCTGTGTTGCTGATATATTTTGTTTTCTAGTCCTTAAAATGAGAATATTTGTTTCTTGAGGAAGATTGCATATACAAGCTGTTTGTTAAATTTAAAAAGCCATTTCTTTATGTAATTCTGACATCTTAAACTGTAACACGTTTAAATGATTAACTGTATTTTGAAACAGGTTGGCCTTGGGGAAGCATTATTAGAGGCTGAAACTATTGAAGAACAAGAATCTCCTGTTAACTGCTTTAGAAAATTATTTGGTAAGAAAAATTGTATTTTGTGGGCGCCTGGGTGGCTCAGTCATTAAGCTTCTGCCTTCGGCTCAGGTCATGATCCCAGGGTCCTGGGATCGAGCCTCACGTCGGGCTCCCTGCTCCGCGGGATGCCTGCTTCTCCCTCTCCCACTCCCCCTGCTTGTGTTCCCTCTCTCGCTGTGTCTCTCTCTGTCAAATAAATAAATAAAATCTTTAAAAAAAAAAAAAGAAAATTTGTATTTTGTATTAATTCCTTATGTAAGAATATGGCAGAGTAAGTATCATTTCAGGGATAAGGTCATTTGTGGAAAGCAAAGGAACTTTTCATATTATGAAATTTAAATCCTTGTTTATTTTTTTAGTCCAAAAAGCATTTAAACAACTTCTAGGGACCCCTGGGTGGCTCAGTCAGTTAAGCATCTGCCTTTGGCTCAGGTCATGATCCCAGGGTCCTGGGATTGAGTCCCGCATCAGGCTCCTTGCTCAGCAGGGAGCCTCCTTCCTCTGCCTCTGCCCCTCCCCCTACTTGTGCGCACACTCTCCCTCTTTCACTCACTCTCTGGCAAATAAATAAAATCTTATATAAAAAAAATAAACAACTTCGGGGCGCCTGGGTGGCTCAGTTGTTGAGTGTCTGCTTTCAGCTCAGGTCATGATCCCAGAGTCCTGGGATCAAGCCCCGCATCGGGCTCCCTGCTCCACGGGAAGCCTGCTTCTCCCTCTCCCACTCCCCCCTGCTTGTGTTCCCTCTCTCGCTGTGTCTCTCTCTGTCAAATAAATAAAATCGTTTTTAAAAAAGATAAAAAAATAAACAACTTCTAAATTTTTATTACATAACATTTGATTCCTCTGAAAGAATATGTGTAATAATATATTCAAGTATGAGGCATAATAATAAACATCTGAACTGTCACCCAGTGTAAGAACTGGACCCTTACCCATAATGTAAAATCTGCTTGTGTATTTCCTTGCTCACTCCATCCACTAGTGTCCCTGTGCACTGCAATTTTTAAATAAATGGGCCATAAAGGTTTTTTCCCTATGTATTTTATTTTATTTATTTATTTTTTTTATAGATTTTATTTATTTGACAGAGAGAGAGACAGCGAGAGAGGGAACACAAGCAGGGGGAGTGGGAGAGGGAGAAGTAGGCTTCCCGCTGCCGAGCAGGGAGCCTGATGCAGGGCTCAATCCCAGGACCCTGGGATCATGACCTGAGCCGAAGGCAGATGCTTAACTATCTGAGCCACCCAGGCGCCCCTTTCGCTATGTATTTTAGATACTACATAAAGTGAACTCTAAAATAAATTTTGTTTCTATCAGAATTGTAGGGTAGACAGACAACTTAATTGTTTTTTTCTTATTTTTCCTCTTCAACAGTTTGTGATGTCCTTCCTCTAATAATTAACAACCATGATGTCCGATTGCCTGCCAATTTATTATATAAGTACTTGAACAAAGCAGCTGAATTTTATATCAATTATGTCACTAGGTCTACTCAAATAGAGAGTCAGCATCAAGGTAAGTGAGAATACCCTGCAATTTTATTTATACAGACTTTAGTAAATTGCAAACTCAAAAATCCCTCATCGTTCTGATTATTCTCTGGATGCGTACCAAGATGGTTCCTGGAAAAAAATACTGCAGGTAAGAAATAAGACTTTTCTGGAACCAATTATACACTTTGAAACAGTCAGCTTGCTGAACCATAATATTAGGGTCCTGAGCTTCATACATGTACCACAGCTCAAAGGTCATTTCTTGCTATACCAGTAGCCAGTTGTGGGTCCTTCAACAAAACACACAATGTGTTGGGATTCTGTGCTCTTGCCTTTTTTATATATATATTTTTTAAGATTTTATTTATTTATTTGACAGAGACACAGCGAGAGAGGGAATACAAGCAGGTGGAGTGGGAGAGGGAGAAGCAGGCTTCCCGCGGAGCAGGGAGCCTGATGCAGGGCTCGATCCCAGGACCCTGGAATCATGACCTGAGCCGAAGGCAGACATTTAACGACTGGGCCACCCAGGCGCCCCTAGGATTATTTAAAATATATATATATATATATATTTTTTTTTTTTTAGATTTTATTTATTTGCGAGAGAGAGAATGAGAGACAGACAGCATGAGAGGGAGGAGGGTCAGAGGGAGAAGCAGACTCCCTGCTCAGCAGGGAGCCCGATGCGGGACTTGATCCCGGGACTCCAGGATCATGACCTGAGCCGAAGGCAGTGGCTTAACCGACTGAGCCACCCAGGCGCCCCTAAAATATATTTTTATTTATTTATTTGAGAGAGAGAGAGAGCACAAGCAGGCAGAGGGGCAGAGGAAAAGGGAGAAGCAGACTCACTGCTGAGCAGGGAGCCCAATGAGGGGCTCGATTCCAGGACTCCAGGATCATGACCTGAGCCAAAGGCAGACGCTTAACGACTGAGCCACCCAGGCGCCCCTCTGCTCTTGCCTTTTGAACAGGGATTCAGACTTTGTCTTTCTCTGTCAAGTACTATATACATAGTAAATAGTAAGATTAATTATAGGATTCTTTTTTCTCATTTCCCAGGTGCCCAAGAAGCATCTGATTTAATGTCACCTAGCAAACGGAGCTCTCAGAAGTACATAATAGAAGGGCTGACTGAAAAATCATCCCAGATTGTGGACCCTTGGGAGAGGTTGTTTAAGATTTTAAATGTTGTTGGAATGAGATGTGAATGGCAGATGGATAAAGGAAGACGGTAAAAAATTGTTCATTTCTAGAATTGCTTAGCAAGCCTCCTGATACTGTAATCTCAGGATTTTTAAAAACAAAAACACTTTCTTAAGAAGCATATAATGTGTAGATATACTTTTCTTTGGTCAACTTCTGTAACCTTGGTATTTATGCAAAAGAGAGTGGTTTTTCACTTTATTAAAAGATTCCCAACGGAAGTATGAACTTGTAAGATGCTGTTGAGCTTGAAGCACTTTTTGTCATTCAGAGGAAAGAGTAGCTACTTTGTCATGTCTCTGTCCTGAAATAGTGGTCTGATCACTGCTGTAATTCGGAAGGGGAATTACCCATGCCTCCAGCTACATTTGGTAAAGGTCACGCTTCTTTTGGGGCTTTTCTCTAGACCTTTTGCTGATAAGCTGAATAATTAAATACTTTTTATCATCCTTCATCTTTCAGAAGCTATGGTGATATTTTGCATAGAATGAAGGATCTCTGCAGATACATGAACAACTTTGATAATGAAGCTCATGCAAAATATAAAAACCAAGTGGTTTATTCGACTATGTTGGTCTTCTTTAAGAATGCATTCCAGTATGTCAACAGCATACAACCATCTCTATTCCAAGGTTGGTTAAAGAATTCTAGAGTCTCCCAAAATACTGGCTTTAGCTGGGGTGATGAAGGTGATGAAAATGTTTACCTTAACATTGTTCTTGGATCCAGATCATTGTGGGGTGACACCAGTGCTTTTTTTAAGTTGTTGGTAGTTTTTATGTAAGTATGTTTTCATTTAAAATTTCTATGTCGGGGTGCCTGGGTGGCTCAGTTGGTCAAGTGTCAAACTGTTGATCTGCGCTCAGGTCTTAATCTCATGGTTGTGAGATCAAGCCATGCATTTGGGCTCCACGCTGGGCATGGAGCCCACTTGATTAATTAATTAAATTTTTATTTTAAAGGATGTAGTGGTACTGTGAAACTAAATACAGATATTTAGTGCTTCTATTTTGAAAAAGCAGATGTAGCAAAGTACTGAAGTAGATTTCACAAAGGCTTTGCATTAGACAAAGATTTTTTTTAAATAACATTTTTGCATATAAATTGTAAAAAATGTGAAAAATAGAAAGGTAAAAGAATGAAATCACCTACCCATCCAATACAATACAGCTCTCATTTTTGTGTATTACTTTGTAGTCTTTCATATATTTAGATTTTGTTTGGAATTTATAGCTGTAAGATATTATACATATAACTTCATAGTCTTGAGTTTTTGGCTAATATTATGATTCATGATCACTATGAAAAATTTGTAGATACATAAGAACAAATATAGAGAAGGAACTTTCACTTGTAATCTGTCATTGAGAAAGAACCTTTATTAATAATCTCGTGTATATCTGTACAGTCTTTTTTCCTATTCATGTATACTTGTTTGTCTGCCTAACTGGGATCACACTGAACATACTTTTTAATGACCTGTATTTTCAAACGACAGCTGAGTAAACTTCCACCTGATATTAAGTTTTATTTTCCTTGCCGCATTTTTAAGTGTTGGTGTTTTCCCCCATCCATAGGTCCTAATGCCCCAAGCCAAGTTCCACTGGTTCTTCTTGAGGATGTATCAAATGTGTATGGTGATATAGAAATTGATCGTAACAAACATATACATAAAAAGAGGAAACTAGCTGAGGGAAGAGAAAAAACCATGGTAATCCTTTCAGATATGATTATTAACAGATTATGTGTTTGTGGTTTGCTGGAAATGAATGTAAAATACAGCTTTGGAGCTACATTGATAAAGCTTAGGTCTTTTAATTATAATTAATGTAAATGAGCAGTTCTCAACTGGAGGTGATTTTGCCCCCCAAGGACATGTGGCAGTGTCTAAGGACACTTTTTGATTTCCACGGCTTGGTGGGGAGGAGTTGCTGTGACTGTCTCCCATGTAGAGGCTAGGATGCTGTGAACAGTACTACAATGCACGGGACAGCCCCACAACAAAGAGTTGTCCAGCTCAAAAGGCCGATGTTGAGAAAGCCTGGTATAAGTTAGTTCTACCTGTCGTGACTGAATGGCTTCAATTAAAGGTGAAAAGCAGAGCCAGGTGAACTACATTGAACATCTAGGCAGGGTGCTGTGCTGAGCCCTGGCCTCAGAATGGAAAGGGCTGAGGTGTTCTGGCTAGGAAGTCATTACAAGCCAAGGGGAGATGTTGGAAAGGTTTCATGGAGGAGGTCAGCATTTGAAATCAGCCTTGAAGGATGTAGCAGTTTTGTCATTTGGAATTGGAGGGTGGATTTTGTGAAGAGAAGACAGTTTGCACAAAGATGTGGAAGGCCAGAGAACATGAAGAACCATTGGTCTTCTGATGGGACCAAGCAGCAGGCCTGGGCAGAACAAGTGATTTCTAAACTTATTTTAAAGCAGAGGATTCCTTTCAGTGATAGCTTTCGTGGAGGCCCAGCCTGTAACAATATGACAGTGGGGGTGCTCTAGGTCAGGAATCAGCAAACTTTTTCTGTGAAGGGCCAGGAAATAGTGTAGGCTTTACAGGCCCAACAGTCTCTGTTGCAGCTGCTCAGCTCTGCTGTTACAGTACAAAAAATAGCCATAGACAATAGTAAACAAATGAGGTGGCCATGTTCCAGTAAAACTTTATTTACAAAAACAGGATCTGGTCTGCAGGTCATAGTTGGCTAACCCCTGCTCCAGGTGAAATACCACAGGGGAGCCAAGAGTCTCACCCACTTTCTGTCCCCTCTCCTCTCCTCCTGTCAGTCCCCTTACCGCTTCTTCAGCCCCTGAGTTACATTCACTAGACGCGGGCGTGAGGAGAGATGTGCCTTAAAATCAGTTCAATCTGATGTCCTTGTAAATTGTACTGTATAATATAGAATGGAGCAGGGAAGACGAAGACTTTCTGAAGGCTTGTGAGGTTATTAAAACTTCTGATAAACTCATTTGCTTCCTCCCACAGAAAAATGCACACATGCACGATTTCACAAATAATTTCCAAGGTTGAAAGATGCTTTGAAATCCAGGCATGAATCCCAGGTTGAGAACTCTGCTAACCAGGCTTTCCCAGGTGCTCTCTGATTCATGTTTTAAAAAGATCACTAAGGCTGCTGGGTAGCTCCTCCTTCTTTCCTGACATTCCCAGGTGGGGTCACTCATTAGCTCTCCCTTCTGGTTTCCGTGAGTGTGTGGTTTATCCAGGTACTTCACATTAAGACCACAGACACCCTTCTTGCTGTGTGGATAATAGGTCATCCAATACTAGTTTTAACTCAAAGCAGTGACATGTCCCATACAAATCAGTATAAATAACGAGGCTCCATCCATCTGTTTCTCTCCGTCCCCACCACGTGCTCCCTGTCCAAGCCATCCCAGTCTTTCATACGTCATCAGGGATGTCCTCTTGTCTCCCTGCTTGCACCCTTGCTCCCTACCGTCTCTTCTCTACCCAGCAGCTTTAGTGAGGTTTTTAAGACCTGAATCAGACATCACTCCCCTGCTTTACTACCTCCAGTGTCTTCCCGTCATGCTCTTCACATTGGCTTCAAAGCCATTACTGAGCAAGCCTTTGCGTGCCCCAGACACGCTGGCCTCTCTGCACCTCCCGCGCTCTGAGCCCCTTTCTGCCCCTGGATCTCTACCCCCGAGCTGTGCCCTGAGGTTGGAGTACGTCTCTCTGCCAGGCTGTGTCCTTGTCACAGCTCTCAGCGTGGACATTTCTCCCTCTGAGGCCTCCTCGAAATACCCATCCAGTTTTCTCTATTAGTCTATTTTAATTCTGCATAGCCCCTATTGCTATTTTCTTGTTTCTTCATTTGCGAGTCCAGCCATGTCTGTGTCTCCCTCTTAGTTCTGTACAAGCTCTGTGGGGCCAAGGACATTGTCCGTCTTGTACCCTGGACATCTGGACAGTGCCTGAGCCACAGCTGGTGAATGAGTGAACCCCCACTCTTCCCTCAGCCTTGTCGTCCGGGCCATGGCATAGCTGTTTAAACCCTCTGGCTCTCTGGTTCCTCCTGTTTCTCACCTCTCATGTGTCATCTAGCAGGCCCTGCTCTCATACTCTGGCCCTCCAACCAACCTGGGTTTCCATCTGTTTTTGTTTTTACTCCATTAACTGATTTTTCCTGGTTTTCATTCTATCCCACAGTCTGCCCCTGACCTGCCGTGAGTCCAGCCATGTCTGTTTGAGCCCTCACAGCAGAGGACATAAAGCTCGGCTTATAGATTCATCTTGTTTTACTCATTGTGTTTTGCTTCTTTGAATAACCGAACATCTAAAAATTGGGAGATTTCTCACAACAATCGAGATGTCTGACTTCTTTAAGAATTGGAATATCTGATACACTGGCCCCTGATGCTCGCCCACAGCTGGGGCCAGATGGAGGCTGCCCATTTCAGACAGGCGTACATTCTCCACGCAGCCTGATTCCCTGGCTCACGTGACGTGCCAGTGGCTGGAGCTGGGGGACTGTCCTCTCCTATGGGCAACCTATTCTCCACCTACACATGCTATAGATAGGGTTCTCGCTTACAGCATCCGCCCAGAACTTCAGAGTGTACTTTTGCATTTCAAAATCAATTTCTCTGAATTATAGAAACTATTTGGAAACTACTCTCACCACACCTGAGGTCCCTTCCATAAACTCCCAATCCTGTTTTGAGGCAGGAATGTTTTCTATAAAATTGCAACAGTGAATACCCCACTCATGTTAGTATATCCTATTAGATTGGCAACATGTGGCAAGGAACTGGACCCTGATGAAGTAGGATACCTAACAGGTTTTGATTGTGAAAGGGATCTGGGTATGTGTCATTATTGGGGGAGGATAAGAATATGGTAGCTAAATAGAGTGAGCAGTGGGGGGGGTCCCCCAAGCATCAAGGACTGGCAGGAGAATACCAGGCTGTGAAAGTGGGGGGAGAAAGGTGGGTAGTGGGAGGGAGGTGCTTATTTTTTCTGAGATCAGCTTGAGGAATGGAGCTTTCAGCTGAAATATTTGTACATATTTTTGAATCAGCATAGTGGTGTGAAAATCTGTAGGGAGAATTTAATTTGGGTCATTAAGTTAGTAAAGTAACGTAGGGATAATAAGAGTCAAGAAATTCTCAGCAAAATAAAATTAAGTGGAGCTGTTTTACCTTTACTATTTTTTGGCAAAATGTCTGACCATGCTCACTGGCACTTAAATAGTTGCAGTTCTCTGAGACCTCCCTTTGGCTTTATATTTCTTGAGATGAAGAGCAAGAAAAGTGTAGGGTTCTTTATTATAAACTACAGAAGGCCTTAATAGATAAGTGCAGGCAAATGTAATTCCTGGCCAACATCTTGCATTGGGGGAGCAGAGCTAGAGAGGGTTGGAGTGGGAGAAGTTATATATAGGGAACAAAAGATTAGGAAGAGTCATTTCTCTGATTCTTAGGGCATTTGGGCTTTAATTTTAATTCCTCTACATGATAAACTTATTTGGAAGCAAATTAAATTATTTCACATACTAAAAAAAAATGAACGATAAAACATATGCCATGTAAGCTGTATCTGTAAGAATCTAATTGGGGGCTTTTATAACATTGATATGTTTTTAAACTATTGGACGTTTTAACTCCATGGCTTTACTTAGAAGCCAACATAAGCTTAGAATTTATCATCAGAAAAACATAAGCTTAGTTTTTAAGGTAAAAATTGAATGTGTGAGAGTGAAACTATCCTCATGGTAGTATCCTTTGATATAAAATCCATACAGTAATCAGAATTGGCGGTAATAAACATAACAACCTCCAAGTACAGTTGACCCTTGAACAACATGGAGGTAGGGCGCCAACCTACCCCACCCTGCACAGTCATAAATCTGTGTATAACTTTCGACTCCCCCAAAACTTAACTACTAATAGCCTACTGTTGACCAGAAGCCTTACTGATAACGTAAATAGTTGATTACCCTATATTTGGCACATTCTATGTATTATATACTGTATTCTCGCAACACAGTAAGCTGGAGAAAAGGAAATGTTATTAAGACAATCATAAGGAAGAGAAATACATTTACAGTGCTGGACTGTAAAAAATCCGTATGTCAACGGCTCTGTGTAGTTCAAACCTGTGTTGTTGACGGGTCACCTGTATATGACTAAGTTAATCACCTTCTTCACCTTCTCTAAGCAGAGTTCAGACGACGAAGACTGTTCAGCAAAAGGAAGGAATCGTCACATCGTAGTCAATAAAGCAGAGCTTGCTAACTCCATTGAAGTGCTTGAGAGCTTTAAGCTAGCCAGGGAGAGCTGGGAGTTGCTCTACTCCCTGGAATTCCTTGACAAGGGTAAGAACATGCTTGTCGTATTAGTGCTGTTTAATGTGTTATGTAAAATCAGTGTGCTTAAAGCATTCTACTTGGAACAGCAAGGCACTTAGAGCTAAATTGCTTCCAGTAGTTCACACAGTTTATAGGATCTTTCTTGAGCAGGACATCTAATCAGTGATTAATATCCAAATGATCAAAAAAAAATTCAAATGATCATTTACATCTTAGCTTCTACTCTGAGTGTTTATTATAATTAGAGTCGGGGTGGAGTTTGAGGGAGAGTTTTTGATCTTTTAACATTTGTATTTCTGGCCTCCTTTCTCTTGCTGGGTTTGTTTTGTATTTTTAGTTGTTCTGTCTGCCTTGTATCTTCTTTGGTCACGTGTAGCTAAGCATACAAAAGGTAATGCTGTTTTTATCTGCATTAACTCTATTGCCTGAAAAACTCACCCTACAGAAAGCCTGTTTTCCTTTGAGAATAGACCTAAATCTACAGGGAGTTTTACAACTATTAAGTATTTCAACATTACTTAGAAATTACTAGCGCGTTGCTAAGCCATGGATTTTTACTCTGCTTTGGAATCAACAGTGTATTTTTATTTTCCTTCTGGCCAATGGACCTTCATCCTTGGGCCTGCTTCTGTCACGTGCCTGTACAGAACCCTTGGTCAGAAGTGTCATGTCATTTTTTTCTAGGTAGATAGAGCATCATTTCATCTCTCCCAGTCACATCTAGAATTGTAAACGTGTATGTGACCTTTGGGGGTAAGGGGGAGTTTTCCTTTAGTTATAACTTGACTTTTTAAAAAATGAGTAAAAGGGTGCCTGAGTGGCTCAGTCATTAAGCGTCTGCGTTTGGCTCAGGTCATGGTCCCAGGGTCCTGGGATTGAGCCCCGCATCGGGCTCCCTGCTCGGCGGGGAGCCTGCTTCTCCCTCTCTCATGCCCCTTGCTTGTGTTCCCTCTTTCGCTGTTTCTCTGTCTGTCAAATAAATAAATAAAATCTTAAAAAATATATTTAAAATAAATAAATAAATAATGAGTAAAACTCTTACCTTGTATCTTTGTTTTCTGAGCTGGGTGAAAATAAAACAGTATCTTTTTCTGAGGAGAGCAAAATAATTTACAAGATAAATGAGGTTGAACAGCTCTCAGGACATGGTGTGTGCTTAGTATATGTTGGGGCCTAATAAAAATACTGCTTGTGGATTACTGATAAGTATTATATTCTAACTTTACTATCTAATTAAAATTCTAGACCATTGTTTTAGAAATCAAAGTCAATAGTTACCCATTTTTTGGAAGTTTGTCTCTGTTGTTTTGCTGGGTTTGTTTTGTTTTCTGCTTCTATGTTAACATGTTTTTGGTAAATTTGCTTTTGAATTCTCAGAATTTACAAGAATTTGTTTGGCGTGGAAGACAGATACTTGGCTTTGGTTAAGAATCTTCCTCACCGATATGATCATCTATCAGGTAGAGTGATGTATATTTTAAGTTACTCTGTATAAGATGATTGTTACTGTGAACCAACTATAGCATGCAGGATGTGTATGTTCCTTCTGTAGACTAGTAATGCTCTGAAGACATGTTCTGTCTTCAGTGGCAGAAGGATTATGGTCCACTTTCATCTCAAAAAAAACCCAAAATGACAAGGCCACCTCTTCTGTGTTACTTTTAATATGTCCAGCCACACCCCTCTGTGAAAGTAAGATTTTTACTTTTCAATAAAAGATGACCACTTCTCGCCCCTCCTTCTCTCTACTCTGATGGAGTCCTTCTGCCCTGCCCCACTGTTCTTGAGCTACTTATGCCTGGAATGGAGAGAGCTAATAATTCCCTAAGAGGATGCAGAGCTTCCAACCTCTGTTGTCGAAAGAGACAGGTTGCTGCTTCCATCCTACATAAAGGAGAAATGGTATGAGTAGTAAAATATTTATAAGAAATGGTATATCCAAAATGTGTTTTATCCAAAGCTTGTGTTATTTTATTTAGTCTTAAGACTTAAGACCCAGCGTGCCTGGATGGCTTAATCAGTAGAGCATGCGACTCTTCATCTCGGGGTCGTGAGTTCAATCCCCATGTTGGGTGTAGAGATAATTAAAAATAAATAAATAAATAAACTTTAAAAAAAAGAAAAAAAAAAAAAGAATTAAGACCAGAAAGAAAAATCTTTGTACATATGAAGTACCTCTATAGAGAACCTTCCACCTAGCTTTAAATAAGTTGGTTTGATTATTGCTAAGTCTCCTTTTTCCTCCTCAGATGATCAAACAGAGCTACTTTATTTGTAGTTGCTTAATTAACTCTGGCGATTTTTATTTATTTATTTATTTATTTGAGGGAGAGCATGGGGGAGGGGCAGAGGCAGAGGGAGAGAGTCTTAAGCAGATTCCACGCTGAACACGAAGCCCAACTCGGAGCTTGATCTCACAACCCTGAGATCACAACCTGAGCCAAAACCAAGAGTCAGGTGCTTAATCGACTGTGGCACCCCAACTCTGGAGATTTTTTTTTTTAACGGCAGTGTTTTTCACCTCCTTGCTGTTATGTCTTTCTTAGGGCCAATATAAAAAAGCAATAGCCAGCCTGCATCATCTAGCAGCTCTCCAGGGGTCACTTCCTCAGCCACAGATCACAGGACAGGGGACGCTGGAGCATCAGAGGGCGCTCATCCAGCTGGCAACCTGCCACTTTGCTCTAGGGGAGTATAGGGTGAGTAGTGTGCACCTGGCCCAGGGACCCTCAGATGCACTCAGCTACCCGGGGGCTTCCTCTTTTCCTAGAGTGGCCTTTTAATTCAGTGCATGTTTATTTGAAATAGGATTTTTCTGCCTAGATTTTATCACCTAATCTGCTGGTAAAAATCTTGATAATTTTGTTTTGCTTAGTTTTCTCTTTAGTTATAGCTTCCCTGAAATTAGGCTTTGGTACTTTTCAGATTTCCTGTTCCTTTTCCGTTTTGTTGGAGGATGGTTTCTTTTATTCTTTGCTTTCTTATCTGGAATCCCTTTAGAGCAGAATCAGTCCTATTGTACTTGGACAGAAGAGGCATTTCCTAAGTGGGAAATGGAGGATTTCCATTAGCTATCTGAGCCTCAAATTCTCTTTTTACATGATGATGACACCTCATAGGGATGTTGTAGGAGCAGATATGTAAGCAAGTCTGTTTCCTCTGTAATTGTGAGGCCCTTCTACCACAGGGTGGAGACCATGTGCTTTACCTTCGATTCTCTCATAGCACCTACCACAGGGGTCTGCACAGCTTTGATACTTAATAAATGTTTGAATTCAATGAAAATGATAAGCACATTCTTTATTCTTTATACAGTATAAATTCAAGGCCACAATTTAACACACAAACTCTGATTTCTTCTTATCTTTCTATATGTTAATTACTTTGTGATTAGTAACCCTGAATAAAGTTTTTAAACTTCAACTTTGAAATATGATTTATAATTTGCTATGATGACATTTAGGAGGAAAGAATTCGAGAGCACGTAAAGTTTGTGCATTGAAAATTGAAAATACTTTTCTGTCATCATTTATGTAATTATCAGGTACCTAATTCTAAGTTTCAGTGAATTCCTCCTGAAAACTTGAGAGCACATATTTATCCACGCAGATATCCATATATTGTATAGAATTAGAGAGTTACACAAGGCACTGCTGTTCAGCATCATATTAGGGAATATAAAATAAGCAGATTTAATCAAGCTGGGCAAACTCATTCTCTGAGGGCTTCAGTCAAAGCTGATCATTATTAGGCCTACATCCTTAGTTTCTCACTTAACCTGCTTCCTTTTTTTTTTTTTTTTTTAAGATTTTACTTATTTATTTGACAGAGAGAGAGAGATAGCAAGAGCAGGAACACAAGCAGGGGGAGTGGGAGAGGGAGAAGCAGGCTTCCTGCCGAGCAGGGAGCCCGACGTGGGGCTCAATCCCAGGACCCTGGGATCATGACCTGAGCCGAAGGCAGACGCTTAACGACTGAGCCACCCAGGCACCCCTTAACCTGCTTCCTGAATCTCAGCTGCCTTCAGCTGTCTGTCTTCAGCTCAGACCCAGTGTATCCAGATGTGAGTTTCCTTTGTTCTCTGGCCCTTAGATGTAAAACTCTCAAGTCATGGTTGACTCTTAACTCTGGCTAATCATTTTGATTCTTCCAGTATGAAGCTAATATCTTTGGTGTAGTGCCTTTTATTTCCTTTGCCACCACCCTAATCCATGGCTCTGAACTGAGATTTTTGCCGATAATCTTTTTCCCTCTCTAAGTTATGGTCATTGCTTTCTACAAGATTGTTGTCATTGTTCCACTTAACTGAAATATTGACTTCCTCAGTGCCCAGAGTTGAACCATGTGCTGGGGGTGGAGATATAAGCAGGGTATGGGGAATGGGGGATCCCTGATTCAGGACATATAATTTGAGTTACAGAGAAAAGTGCAAGTATTTATAGAAAACAGTTAAAAATCAAATACTAAGTGGTATGCCCCTGACATATGCACAGTAGGCATTCAGGAAAGGGTGTTTTCACCAGGGTCCATGTAGTCAAGGAAGAAATTACAGAAAAGATTGGCTGGAGTTGGGCATATGACCCTGGAGAACACATCATGGCCCCACCACTTACTAGCTCTGTGACCTGGGGCAAGTTACCTCAGTGAGCTATCTAACTCCAGTGTTCAAGTTAACTACCAAGCTGTCAAGCTCTTAAAGCTGGAGTTTCACAACCCTATGGCCTAGGTGGGTTCTGGATGTGCCAAGATACCGACGCTCTCAGTTAGCTGTGGCTTGAGGCAGCTAGAGCCCCCAGGTTAGTGCTGCCAGCTCTGAGCAGCCTTACAAGTATTTTCTGAATGCGCCAAGACACAAAAAAGGGTGGGAAGCATAGGTTTAACACTCCACTTCCTCATCTGTAAAATAGGGATAATAAGAAGGTTGTGCTAGATGCATAGAGCACACTCCCCAAATGGAATCTAGCTGTTATTAGAATTTGAACAGGTAGACCGAAGGTAATGGCTCACTCTATGGATCAAGAGCAGCCTGCTCAGTGTGGCCCTTGAGGCTTCCCTCCGCACAAGCACTGCATCAGACCGGTTTTGTCTGTGTTATTTCCTAAACCACGCCTTCCTTCCCCTCACCTAATCACCTAAACAGTACCCCGTCCTTCCCTACGTCTTTCTCTCCTCTGAAAACCCTTTTATCTCTTTTCCACATTCCAAATTCTTCCCTCCCTTTAAGGTTGAGATAAGGGTAACCTTCCTATCTGAACCTTTTCCAGCTAGTTTAGCCTGTGTATGTTTCTCCTTCATTTTAAATTATGCTCTGTATTATACCATGTAGTTCAGTACTTTGTGTCCCCATTTTGTTGATTTTTCTATTCAGTTGAGTAGTATTTTCTATTCATTGAGTTAGTAAATGTCTTTAGGATGGGCCACTGTGCTGTTAAACACGTTGGTAGTTTGGTTAATACTCAACTAATTTTTAATTTTTGTTCTTTTGTTTTAATAGCAAAGAGTGAGTTATTATTCCCCCAAAGATCTAGTACCTCGATTCAATCTCAGTTACTTTTTCTACATTTGCTGTTGAGCAGACAGTAATGATCTCATAGAGTCTTGAGGTAGTGCTACAGCCCTCCATGTACACACATTGCCCAGTTGTCTGCTACACATACTAGTATTCTGTTGATTTGCTTTCAATGAGAAAATTTCAGATTGGTGCTTTTTCATCTGATCTTCTTTAGATGACATGTGAAAAAGTCCTTGATTTGATGTGCTACATGGTACTCCCCATTCAAGATGGAGGCAAATCACAGGAGGAACCCTCAAAAATAAAGCCCAAATTTAGAAAAGGTACAGTGACAAGTTTTATTCTTATTTTGTAAATATGGCTCTAGGACCCAAGGCCGGGAAATTCTTTGAAGATTCCTGATGAAATAATACTGTGTGATCTGAGGGGTTTGACAAACTGTATAAAAAGTTAATCCCTTGCCAAGCTTGTCCTTGGCACTGATTTCATAAGCAGCTGTAAATCTGTCTTTCTTCAAAAGTTCTCTTGGCTTCCTGAGTTTGTTATCTCTGAAGAATATCCATGAACTCCTTTTCCTATCTTCACCAATTCTCAGAAAACTTGCAGATGATTCTTAGTTAAGAAATGTCTCCTAGCATTTCCCTTTCAGGCTATTTTGAGCTTTACCTTAAGTAGCACATTGCTTGAAAAACTACATAAATTTAGTTGTAATGCTTATATAAGAATGGAAGAAAGATTCACTGTCAGGGTTCTAAGTTTCCACATTAGAGGTTAGAAAAAGATAAACAAATGAAACCCAAAGAAAGTAGAAGACAGGAAATAACAAGGGCAGAAATCAGTGAAATAGAGGAAATTAGAAAAGCTAAACGTTGTTTTTTTGAGAAAAAATTGATAAACTCCTAACAAGATTGATGAGAAAGTGAACACAAGTTACCGATAGCAGGAATGAAAGAAGGAATGTCACTACAGATCCTACTGAAATCAAAAGGACATTAAGAGAATAAATTATTAATAACTTTATGCCAATAAATTCAACAATTTAGATGGGAAATGGAAAAATTCCTTGAGAAACACAACTTGCCAAAACTGACTCAGAATGAAATAGAAAATAAGAATGTTCCTACATCTATCAAAAAAATTAAATTGTTATCAGAAACTTTCCCACAGAACTCCAGATCAAAGTGGCTTCACTGGTGAATTCTGTCAAGCACTTAGGAAGAAATAACATCAACCCTACACCTTGGAGAAAACAGAGAAAGAGGGAACGCTTCCCAATTCAGTTTTTAAGGTCAACATAACCTAACAGCAAAACCAAATAAGAGCATTACCAGAAAAGGACATTAAAGGCCAGCATCCATCATAAACATAGATTCCAAAATTCTCAAAAAATCTTAGCAAATTGAATACAGCAGTTTAAGGATAACACATATGACCAAGTATGCTGGGAATGCAAAAGTGGTTTAACATAGAAAAATCATACACTGTAATATCACCACTGTAGCATAGTAAAAGAAAAATCACATGATTCTCTTAATAGCTACAGATAGGTTTTGTTATGTTTGCATTTATCATTCATGATTTTTAAAAAATCTTAGCAAACTAAAATAGTTGTTCCTCAACATCATCCTTAACTATGAAATAGCAAATGCTTTTCCCAAGATCAGCAACAATACAAGAGTGTTTGCTCTTACCACTTCAATTCAGCATACTGGAGCTTGTAGCCAGCACAATAGGGAAGAAAAAGGAAGGCATAAAGGTTGAAAACAGAAAATGTATGTAGACTGTGGCTACGTATGTGGCTATATGAGACAAGCCTACGGAATCTCCAAATAGAATAACATCAAAAAACCTGAAATCCTTAGGGACAAATTTATTGAAAAGTGTGCAACATCATGTTCATAGATTGGAAGACTCATATGTGTTAGGGTTCCAGTTCTCCCCAAATGTATTTATAGACTCAGTGTAATCCCAATCAAAATCCCAGCAGACTTTTTTTTGTAGAAATTGACAAATTTGATTCTCAAATCCATAGGGAAGTGCAATCTAGAATAGCTGAAACCGTTTTGAAAAAGATAACAAAACTGGGCAACTTACCCTACCTGATAGCAAGACTTTTAATATAAAGCTACAGTTATCCAGACGGTATTGGCATAAGAGTGAAAAATCCAGGAGACCCATACAAATATGGTCAGATGATCTTCAGTGAAGGCACCAGAGCAATTCTTTGGAGAAAGGAAGGACTCTTCAACCAATTGGTGCTGGAACAAAGGGCCTCTGGTGTAGAAAGAAAAACGATCCTCAAGCAATCCACATCCTCAAGCATGTCACATTATTCACAAAAACTAATTTGAGATGGAGCTGAGACTAAATGGAAAAGCTAAAATGATAACATTTTTTGGAAGAAAAAGTATTGCTGTCCGTGCGGGGGCCCTGCAAGTGGCAGGCTTGGAGCAACCCTCCTCCCTTCCCTGGGACGATTGGTGGGGGTGCAAACCACAGGAGCCTGCAGAGTTTGGCGTACACGAAAGTGAAGACTGCTTTTCCCTGAGGGCTTACTGAAGAGAGGGGCCACAATCTTTCAGCTCCGGGGCTGGAGATCAGCTATTTTTATTTTCATCCTCTAAAGTAGCACAGAAAGCCTTCAGGGAACAAAAGCCATATAGAGCAACCCAAAATAGCTTACACGGAGCCCACCCCCCTGGCAAGGGGCAGTGCACCTCTGCCCAGGCAAAGACACCTGAGAATCAGGGCAGCAGGCCCTTCCCCCCAGAAGACCAGCTGGAACGTCAGGCAAATACCAAGTTTACAGAGCACACAGAACTGCAAAACTCCAGTGCTAGGAGAAAATAGTATATAGAATTTGAGGGTTTTTTTCTGATTCATTTTATCTTTCAGTTTAAAATTTTCCTTTTTTTTTTCCTTTTCAGCGAGTTTCTTATTTGATCAACTCTTTGTTTTTAAGTCTTTTTTTTTTTAATTTTCATTTTTACATTTACATTTTATAAATATATTCTTCATTTTTGGCTTCCTTTCACTGTATTCAATATATATATAATGTTTTGCTTTCTTTACAATTTTGGGATTTAGTGTCTTCTAACAAACAGACCAAAGTAACACCCAGGACCAAGTGGATCACCCTGTTTTGTCCACCTAGGAGAGTATATTCTCTTCTTTTCTCTTTTTTTTTTTTCTTTTTTGGTTTCTGACCTCTTCAGATTCATGTAGTGTGTATTTGTCTTGGGTCGTGGTTGATATTTTTGATTTTGTTCTCTCGTTCATTCGTTCTTCTCTGGGCAAAATGACTAGAAGGAGGAATTCACAACAAAAGAAAGAACCAGAGGTAATACTCTGCCACAGATCTAATCGATATGGATATAAGTAAGATGTCAGAGATGGAATTCAGTATAACAATTATAAAGTTAATAGCTAGGCTTGAAAAAAGCATTAAAAACTCTATACAGAATTTCTTAGTGCAGAAAGGAGATCTAATCAGGTTGAAATTAAAAATGCTTTAACTGAGATGCAGTCTAAAATGGATGCTCTAACAGCTAGGGTATATGAGGCAGAAGAGAGAGTCAGTGACATAGAAGACAAGGTGATGGAAAGGAAGGAAGCTGAGGAAAAGAGAAAACTAATGGACCATGAGGGGAGGCTTTGAGAAATCAGCGATACCATAAAGCAAAACAATATTAGAATTATTGGGGTCCCAGAGGAAGAAGAGAAAGAGAGGGACAGAAGTTATATTTGAGCAAATCATAGCTGAGAACTTACCTAATCTGGGAAGGAAACAGGCATTCAAATCCAAGAGGTAGAGAGAAATGCACCCCCTCAAAAATCAATAAAAATAGATCAACACCCTGACATATATTAGTGAAGCTTGCAAACTTCAGTGATAAAAAGAAAATCTTGAAAGCAGCTCCAGACAAGAGGTTCTTAACCTACAGGGGTAGGAATGGCAGCAGACCTATCCACAGAGACCTGGCAGGCCAGAGGGGCTGGCATGGTATATTCAGGGTGCTAAATGAGAAAAACATGCAGCCAGGAATACTTTATCCAGCAAGGCTGTCATTGAGAATGGAAGGAGAGATAAAGAGCTTCCAGGACAAACAGAAACTAAAAGAATTTGTGATCACTAAAACAGCCCTGCAAGAAATATTAAAGGGGATCCTGTAAGCAAAGAGAGAGCCCAAAAGTAAAATAAACCAGAAAGAAACAGAGACCGTCTATGGAAACAGGGACTTCGTAGGTAATACAATGGCACTAAATTCATCATCTTTCAATAGTTACTCTGCATGTAAATGGGTTAAATACTCCAAACAAAAGGTACAATGTATCAGATTGAATAAAAAAAGCAAGAGCCATCCATATGCTGTCTACAAGAGACTCATTTTTGACCTAAAGACACCTCCCGATTGACAGTGAGGGGGTGGAGAACCCTTTGTCATGCTAATGGACATCAAAAGAAAGCTGGGGTAGCAATCCACATATCAGACAAATTAGATTTTAAACCGAAGACTTACTAAGAGATGAAGATGGACACTATATCACACTTAAAGGGTCTATCCAACAAGAAGATCTAACAATTATAAATATTCTCCTACCTTGGGAGGAGTCAAATATATAAACCAATTAATAACCAAACTAAACACATTGATAATAACACAATAATAGTAGGAAACGTCAACACCTCACTCAGCAATGGGCAGATCATCTAAGCAGAAGATCAACAAGGAAATAAGGGCTTTGAATGACACACTGGACCAGATGGACTTCACAGATATACACAGAGCATTTCTTCTTAAAACAAGAGAGTGCACATTCTTCTCAAGTGCACATGGAACATTCTCCAGAATAGTTCACATACTGGGTCACAAATCAGGTCTTAGCTGGTACCAAAAGATTGGGATTATTCCCTGCATATTTTCAGACCACAGTTCTTTGAAACTTGAACTCAATCACAGAGGAAATTTGGAAAGAAACACTTGGAGATTAAAGAGCATCCTACTAAAGAATGAATGGGTCAACCAGGAAATAAAAGAATTAAAAATTCATGGAAACAAATGAAAATCAAAACACAACTGTTGAAAACCTTTGGGATACAGCAAAGGTGGTCCTAAGAGGGAAGTACATAGCAATACAAGCCTTTCTCAAAAAATTAGAAAAGTCCCGGGGCGGGGCACCTGGGTGGCTCAGTCGTTAAGCGTCTGCCTTCGGCTCAGGTCATAATCCCGGGCTCCTGGGATCAAGCCCCACATCGGGCTCCCTGCTCAGCGGGAAGCCTGCTTCTCCCTCTCCCACTCCCCTTCCTTGTGTTCCCTCTCTC